ATTAAAACTTTCCAAAACATAGACTGTGGAATATTTTGTATTCAAGAAACACACTGACTACCTAGAATATGAAAAGTTCATATTCTAGAAAGTTAGAGAATAGAGAAAAAGTAAAAAAAAACGGAACCGATCAAACAAAAATTTTTAGATATTTTAAGTTCAGAAAAACGAAAATACTTCGTAAATTTACGAAATAAATCTCGAAGTCTTCGAGATTTACTTCGTAAACCTTGAGAGGTAAAAAAAAAGTTCACCAAAATTTCACATCAATCCAAGGTTTACTTCGGATTCATTTACTTCGGATGTGAACTGTGGGTGGTAACTCTCCAAGTGGTAGTACCACCATAAAAAGTAGCTATTTCCGATCGGCAAAACTATTCAACGCTAGGAATGGCCACCGGCTGTTAAAAATTATTTTGACTCTTTATATTTAAAAGTAAAATTGAATTATGGAAACTTTTCTTAAACCACTTTTTTACATAGTATTGAGCAAAATATCCAAAATAAAACAATTCTAATTGCACAAAGATTTGTGCACCATAGTATGTTCATTAATATTTGCACAGCTAGATTATTGCAACTCCCTCTATTTGGAATTGAAAAGACACTTAAAAAACTGCAGTCTGTTCAAAATTGTGCAGCAAGACTGGTATTTAAAACCAGAATAGAAAATCACGTAAACGACCAGGAATTTAACAATTTGCATTCGCTGAATATTAGAGAGTTCTCTAATTTTCAGCGAATGCAAATTATGTGCAAGTAGTGAATTAAATTGCATGACGTCGGTGCTTCCAGAATAATAGATTTATGCATTATTAAAAGGACCTTGAAATAGATTCTTTCGAAAGAATAATAGATTTGTGTATTATTAAAAGGACCTTGAAATCTATTTCAAGCTCCTTTTAATAATGCACAAATCTATCACTTTGGAAGCACCAACGTCATTATGCAATTTAATTCATTATTCAATGTCAGAAAGAACACTAAAATTAAAGGGAAAAAAAATGCAGTAATCGTTTTGGTAATCGTGCATTATCCCATTATGGTTCTAAACTTTGGAATATACTTTAAAATATTATTTGCGACGAAAAAAACAACTATTTATCCAAAAAAAACTAAAATTTTATTTTATGATGAATGGTAAACAATTCCACCAGTATACTCTTGAATGTTAAATTAAAAAATCTTGAATATTAATATTAAAAATTTTGCTAATATAATAATTTGTTGCACAGCTGAGCAAGTGTTTTGCTGACTTAATCCATTATTCTGACACACAGCGGCTGCGGCTAAACCTATGTATTTATTTGTTTGTGGTTAATTCATAGAGAATAGTTTTAATCTATATTAACATAATTCTAAGAAAGATAAGTATATATAATATATAAGTATATTAATAATATAAGTATATAGTATTCTTAATACTATGATATTAGTAATCGACCGAAATTCTGTTTCGGCCGAAATTTTAATTTAAACCGTAGCGTTCTCTACTACAGGCCTATTCATCGCGCAACCAGATTTTTTTGAGGCCTACATTTTAAGGCAAAAAAGATAATAAATTCGTTAAAACGTAATTTTAAAACTAAAAAGTATTTTTAATTCTCTGTATCGCCTGATAATTTTTTTTTATGAAAAATGAGAAAGATAAATAATCTTTAAGTCATCTTGAGTAATAAACATGTAAATAAAACACAAAGCAATTTTTTCTAATTCAAAATTTCACACATTTACATAATTATATAATTTCACCTTTAGTTTTGACTTTGCCATCTAAAATACAAAATTGATATTTTCTTATATTGAGTAGAAAATGTTATTAAACCAAACAAAGAGTATTAGATAAATTTTGTTTAAAATTGTTAACAAAATCTGAAAAAAAAAACTACTGTATACAACTACTATGTGAAACTTTTATAAATCTTTTATAAAATAGTATACAGTATATATTATAAATAGTAGAAAGTTAAGTGGACTTCTAAAAGATTTTTAATACTTTTAGTGCAGGTACTATACCAGATCTTGGACTGACAGTGGTACATAAATTAAAAAAAAATTTGCTCAATATTATAAAATGATGTGCTACCATATTCCATAAATAATAGTCTGATATAATCATAAAAATACTTCTTAAAGATTTTCTGCAAACATGATCTTTAATTACAAATGTCCATTAGCACTATATTATATTAAAACGGTCAAGTAAAGGTGCATGTTTGATATGTAATTTTTTAATAACTTGTTGAACACTGAGAAAATATAGTATGCTATATTCTTTTTCCAGGTGATCCGATATAAATTAACCAAGAAGTACATAGCTTTGCATAGTGTTAAGTAAATATCTACATAAATCTACTAATACATAACAAGTTTAATGTAAACAAAATGCAGTATCTTTAAAAAGCTGTTTAATATATCACTAAATTGTACTATTAAATTTAAACAGTTGTTATCAGGATTAATGATAACAGCCTTCAAAGGATTATTATGCCTTATATCAGCACCAACGGCTTTAACATTCAAAATTTTCCATCAAAGAATAACTTTAATGATAAATATAACTGTGTCGTTAACATCACTATAAATCATGTCAGGATGTTCCAAAAGAGCAGCGGAAGTTTTTTCAGAAAATGCTCCTAAAACTGTCAATACGCACTGTCATTCAACAGGTTTAAGGGAAATAGAAGTATCATTCAGGTTAGATAACTTTAGAAAGCTTCTGGATTCTGAATTGTTAAGCTGGTTTAAATGAGTCCATTTTGCAATCCTGGTTACTCTGTTATCGTCAAATATTAATTCATGAGTTTTTTCTTTCAACTAAAAATTATGAATATTTTTTATGAGGAGTACAAAATCATAAAGTAAATACTTTCCATCTACTTTTAACCATGGTTTTCCCGGAATGAATGTGCACATTTAAAAAAAAAGCCTGATTGAGACAACTCTCATCACATTTAATAGCTTTTACATTTGCACTAACTGAATTAATTACTTGATTGGTTAAATTAATCTGTTCAAACAAAAAATCTGATTGTAACTTTGATATTGGTATCATTTTGATTAACACCTTTGGAACGGGGGTTTAAACAAACAGCCATAATCCCTAACAATGTTTTGGACAATTTCACTGGGTTATCCTCTGGTCAACCAAAAATAGTTCCACCATGGCCAAGTAAACTTTTTTTAACATACATTTCACCATGTAGTATGATAAATAATTTCTGCTTATCCGGAAGAGAATTAAAAATTGAATAAATAAATTTGTTTTCATAAATATTAGAAATTTTTGAAGTAATTCGAGTGAGTGTTGAAATAGACGGAAGTTCATCGTTTCTTAAGCAATATATATATATATATATATATATATATATATATATATATATATATATATATATATATATATATATATATATATATATATATATATATATATATATATACTTTCACTTTGATAGTTGGTGTAACAAACATACGCACAACATTTATTTAGCAAGGTGATTTAATCTAGATTTTATAAATATATTATTCGTTTTAAATTAAATCTGAAACTAAATGTTTAAATTATATAAGTTTATTAACATTATATTATATTCCATTTTTTAAATATATATCATGAACGATATTTTATCTGGTCTGAACGTGGAGAAATAGTTTTTTTTTTGCCGTAAAAAAGTAGGCCTCTACAAAAAAAAAAACCGGTTGCAAGATGAATGGGCTTGTCCCAGTGGGCACCGGAACTAAAAAAAGACATCTTTTCATCGTTCAAAAGACGTCCAAAACGTGTATAAGACGTTTAAAAGACGTCTTTTTTACGTCCGTGCCCACTGGGGTAGTAGAGAACGCTGTGATTTGAACAAATACCGAAATTTCGGTTTTGGTAAATTCGGTAAGAAGCAAAATTTAGGTTTCTATGATTTTAATTTTTTATTTAGTTTAAAAAAATAATTATTTTTGAGAATTTCTACAAAATATTTTATCATTTCTAAATAAAAATATAAGCCCATCGTTGACAAATTACTTAACTTTTTAGTTCGTAAATAGTGCGTATACATCTGCTTCTTGAAAATATCAAAACCGCATAATAGTAGTGTAGTGCGCATAATACTTTGAACTTGTACGGATAATGTTTTGTTTAAAAAAAACAAATACTTCTAGGAACCCTTCCACAACCCCCCACCCCGTAAAAAATTCCTCCGGAAAAAGTCCGACAGCAAAAAAATCCCGCATGCTCTAAAAACTTTATCTCGCATCTTCATATTTTCTTGATTCATATAATCTACAACGTTCAAAGTTTTCTGTCAACTATTTTCTTGCTCTTAAACTTTTATTCTTTGTTTTCTAGTAGTTCCCAACTTAATAGTGGTTCCTTGCAGCCTAGTTGGGATTAATTCAGAATTAAAAAAAAAACAAATTTATAAAAAATAAATTAACGAAACTCGTCTTAAACATAATTCAAACATAAAAATAATAAATCTAGCAACAATTATTCTTTACCCCCTTCCCCCCCCTCCCCCCTTCGTTTTCTGCGGTATCACTGCTTGTAAATAATTTTTTTTTTCTCACGCAACTAACGTATTAATCATGGGATATTCAAAAATAAGAAATCCTTATCAAGTGTCACAAAGTAATCGCTTAGTAAAAAGTTATTTAACAACTGTTTTTTATTGTCATTATTTTGTTTGTTTTTAGTGTCTATTTATTGTAGAAGTTAAAAATTTTATCCAAATAAAATTATAAATGCGCTTTGTAACATGATTCATAACACTAATACACGTACACGAAACACATACACGAAGTGTAACATGTTTATAAGCACTAGTTGATATTCTAATAATTAGACAATGAAGGAAACAAGGTTTACAATCTAATAATTGACAGGAAGTAAACAAGATGTATATGATTGTTCATACGCATCACCGTTAAAACAATAATTACATCAAATGTTGTTAGATTGACCGGAAAATACAAGGAAATAAATACAACTATAACAATTTGTTTACCTTGTTGCTGTAAATATTGATGGTGATTTTTCCGAATGCTTCAATATTTGCTATTACAAAAAAATAAAAGAATTCTTTTAAATACACTTAAATAAAGTTTATACAAAGTTTGAATTTAAGAAAAAAAAAACTCTACAACTTTAAAAGAAAAGATAAACAAATGACGTAGCTTAGTGTAACACATCTTAGAACAACTGGTATGACTGGTATGCACGTGGCGTATAAAATAAGTACTAATGCTTTGAATATTGAAAAAAAAGTTTATCTAAAACTAATAAATCTTGGATGCGATTCGAGTTAATAAAACGTAAAGGGCAGTGGGAATAAAATTCACGACTAAACTCGAATCCTTTTTGTTATTTTTATTACTAAGAAAGTGATTAATAAAATTGTTTTTATATTTGTTTAACCAATAAATGGTTCATCAGATTTTTAAGTTTTAGGAAAAGATAAAGTAAACACCTTAAAAAAAACACCCTAAACACCCTAAACACGAGTTATTAATCTAATTATAAAAAAAAATTAATACACAATAACTATTTATTCTCCCACCCAATCAATATCAAAACTCATAACTTTTAAAGTGTACTCGAACTGTATATTATAAATAAAAAGTAATACTTATTTGTTTGTCTCCTTTGACACAATGCACGAGTAACTGAATTAAAATAATAAAAATCAACATTTTCCCCAAAATTGTTATAAAATTTCCTCCAAAGTCTTTTTACTTAAATTATCTTCGATCTCTCACTAGTTTAAAGTAAAGTTAAAAGTGAAACTGTAAACGCAATTCATATTACAATTGTTTTTCGCGAAGCTTGAACTCAAATTAAATCCACGCACGATCTGCAACAAGTTCGCTATTACTGACGTAGGCTATTCGCGTCGCACCTCCTCACAACTGCTTTTTCAAGAAGACGCCTTTAACCACATTGCGCATGTTTTCTTTTTGCTTGATTTTATTTATTCTAAAAAATGTGTTAAGCTTGCGTGGCTTTTGTTCTTGTTACAAAGGTAATCTATTTTTAAAAAATCATAAATCATGTTTGTTTATTTTTCTTACTAAACCAAATAAATTAAAAAATATTCAAGTTGAAAAAATATTATTGTACTTTTGTTGTCAAGCGTTTTTAAATGACCCTAAAGCTTGTAATGACATCTCTATCTTAAAGAGTATTTTATTTCCTTATTTACTCGAATATTTTATATAGTATATATATATATATATATATATATATATATATATATATATATATATATATATATATATATATTTATATATATATATATATATATATATATATTTATATATATATATATATATATATATATATATATATATATATATATATATATATATATATATATATATATATATATATATATATATTGAAAAAATATTATTGTACTTTTGTTGTCAAGCGTTTTTAAATGACCCTAAAGCTTGTAATGACATCTCTATCTTAAAGAGTATTTTATTTCCTTATTTACTCGAATATTTTATATAGTATATATATATATATATATATATATATATATATATATATATATATATATATATATATATATATATATATATATATATAGCAAATTAATTTTAAACAATATTCAAAAGATGAATTATTTTTTTTTTAATGAAAAAGTTAATATTGTACGCATACAAACACGGATTTTTCGGCAATTAAGATGCCCAATCTAGCTCTATGAATACACCCGATGGCTAGATGCCAATACAAATTTTTAGCCTACTCTTACATCTTACAATTGATACTAAAGTTATTTGCAACTAAATTAGTGTTGAAAACTTCAAATAAGAAATACTTCAGTTTCTTCAACTAAACTATATATTCAAAATTTGTATAAATTTATAACCTCATAGCTTTTATATATATATATATATATATATATATATATATATATATATATATATATATATATATATATATATATATATATATATATATATATATATATATATATATATATATATATATATATATATATATATATATATATATATATATATATATATATATATATATATATATATATATACATACATATATATATATACACAAGGCCGCGATAGGGGGTGTGGGGGGTGTGACACCCCCTTCCCCCATCAATGATTTTTAGTCGGCAAATTAGACCCTTAGTCGGCAAATTGGACCCTTTTAGACTAGTTAGTCGGCAAATGTCGACCCTTTCGTTATTGGTTATCTAGACAGTCGGCAAATGTCGTCATGGCAGTCGGCGAATTTTTGAAAACGAGGACCTTTTTTTTTTTTTTTTAATGGGCAAAATTTAATGGCACCCCACCCCCCACGTGACACCTACTCGCGCCTGCCCTGTATATACATATATATATATATATATATATATATATATATATATATATATATATATATATATATATATATATATATATATATATATGTATGTACAGGCCCGCCGCTACCCTTTATGACGCCCGGGGTCAAAACTTATCTAGCGCCCTGTCATATTGATCTAATTCAAAAAAGTTTAGGTATTGTCCAAATACTGGCTTTTTTTTTTTTTAACTAAATTCACTTTTAAAGGCCGAGGGAGTAAATACAGTCAAGACGGCTTCTAAATAGTTTTATAAAAATAAAAATAAATTTGAAATAAAAGTAAAAAAGAAACATAACTTGACAAGTTACTGAACTTTATTACATTGCGAGTAACTATGAGTTTTAAATGTAATAGATATTTTAATTGCTTCATGTGAATTTGATTCTACGGGCATAATTTAAACCAAAATTTGGAATGACTTTTTGCAAGATCGTATTCAATAGATATAACTAAGACATTGGTAAGCCGGTCTTGACTTATTCTAGATCTTAATTTTATCTAGACCAAGCTTACTGAAAGATCTCTCTTTCAGCAATGGAAACGAGAACGGTGTTAAAAATACGTAACAAAATGCTTATTGATTCGAAGATAGACTCTAGACCTTTTTAATAGATTCCATTTAATAGCTTCATTAAAGTGAAATATTCTTTTTGACTGAAAAACTTGGCGTGCTTCAGAATATCCAGATGATGGACCTCTAAAATTAGTTTTTCTTCATTTACATTGTTCACATAGATTTGCGCTAAAGTTTTACATTTCTCCTCCAGGCTAGGTGGTTCAATTTTCTTCACTCAACCTACTACTATTCGATTCCGATAACCATAGGGAGGAGAAACTGTTTGTCATTTTTTCTGCACCTCTCTTATTTGATGGATTAAAGTATCGAGAGCGGTGTTCTTCAGCCGTTTTTCAAAACGCCTAAAAGAAAAGAAAATCAAAATTGACTTTTTTAGAAAATAAGGTTATTTAGGTGCCTGCAAAAGTTATTGAATAATTGTTTTTAAAGAACTTTGAAAAAGTTCATACAAATTATAATTTTCAATAAACGTTTTACAAAAACTTTCTTGTATTATTATTTTTTAATGCGTTTTTCTCGTAAAAAGCAAATACGTAATAAATACGTAAAAAGCATCTAAAGGCGTTTTGAAAAACGGGTACAGTGTTAAATATGTTCACCTCAAACTACTTTTCATCGTTTTCGTAGAAATGAACTTCTTTCCTTGGTTTTCCTCTTCCTTGTCCTTTTTTAAACTAACTTTGACTAAAACCCATAACTAACTAGACCGGAGGTAACCAAATGTCCTTCATTAATTAATTCGGGCCAAGAATATCTAAATTCATAAGATCCTCGGTAGGAACCCTCATAAGCTTTATCTCTTCATCTAAAGTAATGTTTCCTGATTGAAATGACACTCTGAAAATTGCCTAGCGCGCTTCGAACCAGAAGGTTGTCATGATAATAAACTTAAATGAATAAATCCATTTCTCCAAAGATTTTACTTCATTCAACAGATCAGCAGTTAAATCAAGTTCCTGAAGTTTCTGCAAAGAAAAAATAATTTCTCTAAGTTGCTTAACCAACGGCTTCAAAGTCTCAATCCGTGCACGCCATCGGGTTTGTGAGATCTAATGAAGAGACAAACCAGTTGTCTTGGTTAAGATTTCACATTGTATAGGGCTTCCACTAAAAAGATTGTAGAGTAACTGAATCCTGCCACAATAGTACTTCATTTCTACAGAAGATTCAAGGGAATGAACACCAGCTAGGTTAATGTTATGAACGCTGCATAGCATGTAGAAAGCTTAAGGATTTCTCTGAAGGATGATCGCTTTTACTCCTTTGTACCTACCAGACATGTTCGCACCGTTGTTGTACCCTTGACCTCGACAGATCTTCAGATTGATGTCATTTTGATCCTAGAAATCCATAACTATTTTGGCAATATCCACAAATTTCTTTTGTTTAAGATTTTCGACCTTAAGAAAGCGCTAATTAACTACCTGTCTTTTATCAATACCATTGTAGACAAATCGGAGTATAAATGCAATTTGCTCAGTATAAGAAACGTCAGGCGTTCCGTCGACAAGAATAAAATAGTAAATTACTATATGTGCATCTTTAATGATGGCACCGTGGACGATTCTTCCGCACTTTTTTATAAATTCATTTTAGAAACTCCAAACCAAAAAATGCACAATAATTTGTTTACCTCCATGTTGACACAAGGAAACTTCTTTCTGATGTAACTAAAGGCTCTTGTTGTGTTTTGCAAGAAGCTCTAGAGTTACAAGAAAATTGCCGTTATCGCCATCATTAATAATTTTTGAAGAGTCTAAAACGACTCTTCAAAAATGATCTCTATATATATATATATATATATATATATATATATATATATATATATATATATATATATATATATATATATATATATATATATATATATATATATTTATTTATTTATTTATTTATTTATTTGATTATATATGTTATTTTTTAACCTAGCAGCCCTTAAAAGTATTTTCCCGCAACGGTTTGAGTTAACAATTTATTTTTACGTTACGAGTTTAAAGAGTTTTTCATTAAAGCCCTGTGTATCTATTTTATAATGAAATAAAAAAAAAGTTTTCATTTTTGCGCCCCTTCTGATCCTGCGCCCAGGTAAAAAGTACCCAGTGACCCTCCCCACGCGGCGGCCCTGTGTATGTATATATATACATCACCATGACACACTTTTTTCCCTTCGTTAAACTCTGTCATTGTTTAGCCGTTTCCCCTTAAAAACTTATAGTAAATACTATTTATTATAAATTCTTTTATGGTATTATTTTTTAAGGTATTATTTATTATTATTTATATTATTATATATTACTATTTTTAATTATATTAATAATTTTTATGGTATTATTTATTATTATATTTTGAGGATTACAATTTTATTTTTATAGCGATTTTTTTTTTCTGCTCATAGGTGGCGTAAAACTTTTTCTTTTAAAAAATTGTTTTTCAAAACTGACATCGTTTTGCTCTTTGCTTTACCCCCTTCCCCCTCCCCATTGTCAAACTTTTCAGCAGCGCCTCCCATCCCCTCTATTTACTAATATTATTTATGGATGGCCGTTTTGTATTACAGATTAACTGACAATAAGCCTGTAAAAATTGCTATTGTCAATTATTTGTATCACATCACTTTTAGCACGTGACATGCGCAATTTCCATTTCATAACTATCCCGATGAGTCCCAATAAAAAAGATATGTTTAATTCGAAATGACTTTCGACAGAAAAAAAAAGTGCTGTTAGAATCGGTAGTAGTGCTTCCAATACCATTAGAACCGAAATCGGAATACAGGTTTTAGTTTGGCTCAATACCGCTATTTAAATTATATGTAGAGAGCTTGTGATATAGCAGATGAGTTCACCCTCTTTACGTAAAACACGTAAGTTAATGAAATATTTAAAACTTCCAGTCGCGACAAACAACGCTCCCGGTGGGAAATATATTGCTAGATGACAAAATACGTGTTTAAAACGTTAAAAACACG